AATCTAGCCATTCTATGATTATTCTGCAACTGCTTTTGCAGGAACAACATTGGTGGCCCAACAACAGCCATCTCAGGCTTCTGCTCGTACTTCTTTGACGCAGAAAAGCAGATTGTGCTGGATAAGCTGTATGACAGACCATCCGGCACCACCACAGAGCTTCTGACCCTGCCTGAGCTCACTGGTAATAAAACAAAAATCAAGTCATTGTGTTTTACTCATTGTGTATTGTGCCATTGATTCCTGTTAGCAACACATTTAGCAGCTAGCTGGTGAACACAGTGGAGCATTTAGCAGATAAAGAGCCAGACATTTCCCTTATGTGTTGGTGGAGACTAAAAGGAGAGATAAATAGAAAGCTATTAAAGGCTACTTTGGTTAACACGAAAGCTACATTTTCCTATGCTAATCTGCTTTCCGCATTCTTTTGAAGGGATGTTACTACTCCTACCCGCAACTCTCTCTTCTGCTTTTATTACATAATTCACTACCCTAATACACATACATATCCATGGCTCCTTGGCACTTCCTTCTTTCACTTCAACATTGACCCTTCGCACTATCCACCCACCCACTTCTCTACCTTGTCTTCCTCGTATTATATTTTTAACCTTGTTCTTCCTCCATCTTATCCTCTTCCTCAGGCATAAGGTACGGCTCCAAGAAGAGCCTGATCATCCTGACCAGCGGAGTGACTGCAGGCGCAGCAGAGGAGTTTGTTTACATCATGAAGAAGCTCGGCCGCGCTATGATTGTCGGAGAAACCACCGCCGGGGCCTCCCACCCGCCCAAGACCTTCCAAGTTGATGACACCGACATCTTCCTCAGCATCCCCACCGTCCACTCTGACAGTGCCGTAGGGCCAGCTTGGGAGAGAGTTGGCGTCACACCTCACATTCCCGTCTCAGCTGACGCTGCCCTGGGGACCGCCAAGGGCATCTTCAACAAGCACTTTGCAGGCCAGAAGTAAACCACGACTAGGACAAAGCCAGTGGGGTTTTAGTGGTCACTTTTGCTTTGGCAGCCAAAAGGATTTCAAGATTTAGAATCTAGACTTGTTTAAGAAGTGAAGAATGTAGATTAAGTACAAAGTAACAAGTCTAATCTCTCATTCATCAGCTCAAGTTGTTTAGCAAATGTCCAACAGTAGGATTTACTTCTAGTTTTTTATTTCTGTTGAATGTTACACTGGCTGTTGAAGGTTTTCAGAATGAATGGCTCTGAGATGCCAGTATACATAAGTATGTGTCAAAGATCAGTTGTAACATCAAAACATTCAACTTTCAAACATCTTATTTTTCAGAGGTCACCTGCAAAAAAGAAGAAACTAATTAAGTAAACACACGCAAAATGTGTTCAGACTAAGTTTGCTAATTGTCCAAATTTGGAATTGGGACCTCTGTGAAGTAATCCACTTGTTGCTCTGGTCAGAAAACCATCACTTGTCCTCCCTGTGTATGGGGAATACTGTATGTCCAATATGTCATGTGGGCCTTCTTGGGTCAAATTAATTTCACTGGTGAGACACAATAAAAAGATAACTGAAATACAAAACAGATGTGTGTGTTGGTCATATTTTTCATCATTTTACTATTGCAAAAGTCCTTTTCATGAATTTATTGTGTACCTATTCTAAAGCGAAGTGCAGGCAGCAACTTTTGGATACAGAACCAAATGAGTTTGTCATAACACATTGCTGTCAGATACAACACTATTAACCAACAGCTGGAGGGGAGAGAACAAAACATTTATCTTAATGATGCTGTTAAATTGTCACATTAGACAGCAATGGAGTAAAAATATGGATTTCTACATCTGTACCACAATAGACAAATTCTTGGTACCCAAAGGAATCATCTAGCAGACAAGCAACAGATGATTTCACCAAGATTGAAAGTGAACTGCACCGCAAGCACAGTCTGCTTAAGGGGACTGTTATGCAGCTTTTCCAACCTTGTCATTTGTTGGTGACAGTACAATTGTGAAGATTATACTGTGTTTAAGGTCAATTATGTCAGACTGCGGGAACCTGTTAGTTTTTGGTGGGACAGTGTTGGTGGTTTCAGTGGTTTAGGTCCTGAGTGGAACAAAATCAGTAAAGGACAAGCATGTGACTTCCGTATAAAATACAATAACATACATAAGAACCCATTTTTATTGTTGTTCATACTGGATGCCAAAAAGAAAGCAAGTATTTGTTTCAGGAATACAGAATCTGAACCTATCAATTGACAAGTCTTCCAGTATCATCTTATTAAAACGTGTAAAAATAAAATATATTTTTGTGTTAAAGAACAATGCTCAACTCATCTTATTTTGAAAAAAAATTACACGCAAACTATTATTTCTGAATTGAGAACATGCACCCATGTAGCCAAGTAGGTAAGACTCCCTGCCTTGATGACCTTGGTTTTGGGGTGCACTTCAAAAAACCACTGGATGTAAGTGTTTATAAGTGTGCTGTACATTAAGTGGTGTTTATGTTAATGAATGTGAAGATTATGAATGGATTTAAGTGGATATAAGTGGATATGTTTGGACATGAGACATAGGAGCAGGGCTGTGGACTTTTATTTGTACACCAAAAGGATCAGAAAGGATCAGTTAGGTGGGGGGAAAGTCTGCATGCATCAATATGTGCTGAGACTTTAAACAGGGGCCAAAGGGTTAAGGGACATATGGTATGTGTAGGGAAAGGAGTTAGGGGGAGCTCAAGCAGCTCCACAATAAGGATTGACTACTGACTTTTTAGGAATCTGTTTGTCTGCCTGGTTTGTGTATAAGTGACAGGACAGCTGATTAATGTTCAAGTATATAAATACTCACTCATACTTCCCAGAAGAACAAAAGGACGAAACCCTAACAGGCATATAGGAACTAGCTTTTTTGTTGTTTGTTTGTGTGTCATAACAGATTTCAGGAAAGAGGTAAGCATAAATTATGCTAATTGCTTTCATTCTGAAATGTACTATTGCTAACCAACACTTTGTAGTTAGCTTGTCATTTTAGCTGTTCTTTGAAGTTCAAACTACACAACCCATCATGAGCTGCTGTCAAAAAAGTGGCAAAAAATACCAAAAATTTAAACACATTTTTAACGAATGGTCTCGTCAGTACAACCTCTTTGACAATTACATGGAATTTCCTGTGACTGCTTTACAATAAAAACGTTTTAACCTTTAACCTAACCATTTGAAGCTGCAGCAGGAGCAGCAGCTGATGTGTCTGTAAGACAGTACAGTAAGGCTGATATCAATTTGACAGCTGAATAACATTGATGCATTGTTTCCCCTCCTGTGTAAGAAAGCAATATGAGTCCTGAACGGGAATGGCGGACTCCAACACTAACAATAAAAGATATGTGGTAATTGCTGGGTGTAAATACATTAAATGTCTGTTGCTGAAATAATGCCAATCATAAGGGGTTGATTTTATGAAATCTCAAGGATTTGCATAAGCAGATACAGAAAGGGCCTACATGGTGCATAAAAAACATATCACAGTAAACCTTGTGCCATGTAGCATTTCACTCTAGCTATTCTCAACTAAATGGACAGAGAGTAAGGGGTTAATAGGGGCCCAGATGATAGTGTCTGTTTCAATAAACAAAATAATCAAGGTAAACTTGTCAGCCAGATTATGTCTTTGGAGATAAACTTTACTCATAAAAAATATTTTAATGATCCAATCTATCCCTCTATCCATAGGTATCATTTAAACTGGGGACGCTGGGGACATGTCCCCACTACTTTTTGAAATAGCTGATTTTGTCCCCACCACGTTTTAAAAGCATAATTTGTTTAACAAATGAAAATGCCTTTAGAAAGGTTTATTTGCACACTAAGAAAACCTGCAATGAAAATAAAATATAGAAGAACCAAATGTGCAATGTCCAAAAAAAAGTAAAACTAAAAAAACAAAACAAGCTACTGATCAGAAAATGACCCAAAAACGTGCAGCACCAGTCAGCAACTTTAACAACTTCTTAGCACAGTTTCTTTTTGGCCAAGTTTTCTGTTCTCTCCCTGTGAACATGACAAAAGAGGAGAGAAGACTCATGCCTGCATATGTGTTGCCTCAGCAGGGATGATATTACATGAGAAAAGTTGATCTACAAGAGAAACATGTGAAAGTAACACAGAATGCCTGAGAGCTGCACTCACTTAGATTCTATTACATTTATATTTATTAAAATGTCACGTGCTACCTGAATTTTGTTTTTCCTTTTACATGAATAAAAACATTTGAGAAACTTTCACCAGAATGCAGGAAATGAAGATTTTAATGATCAAAAGGTCCCCAGACCTCCCACTCATATATCTCGGCATTGAGTATATAGTAGCCTATATTGAAACACTGTTTAAGGATCTTTTCATCTCCTTCTTGTGAACCTAAAATCGCATATCCTGACTTCTCGCAAGCTAAGTGTCTCTTCATACCCCTAATCTGAACCCCAATGTCCCCACCACTTTTCAACACAAAGTGACGCCCTTGCCTCCATCCTTCCAACTTCACCCAATAGTATACTTTTTTCAACTGATTAACAGTGCTCGGATCAGCTCCATGTTTGATGAACAACAAAAACACATTTTGTTATAAGTGTTGTAGGCTACTCCTTGAATATGCCATCAGCAACAGTATATATTTGCCCCTCTCATTACAGCCTCTGGTTCATGGTGTAATAACAGAGGATGTTGCCGTTCATGGCCCCGGCTGCTGTAATTAACTGGTAGCAGCAGCGCGGTGTAAGCAAACAAACTTGTAGTGATTATTGAGGACAAAGTGAGGAGAGACTACATAAATGCACACATTGGTTTAAGGGTGGTAAAATATGACAATAGGCTCCAGCATACAGCAGTAACAGTTATTATCCCATTCCGCCCTGCGCCGATTCCCCGCAAAATGCGCCAGTCTGCCACGTGAGGGAGGCGCAAAATGGGATCCTGACCCATTTTTCCTCTTTCTCTCTCCTCCTCAGTTTGAAATATGAAACCTGGTCCATTTCAGCCAAGTCTGTCCCCCGGGCTCCCAGTTCCTCCAGCGCCAACCCTGCTATGCATTACCCAAGTTCATTCGGCTTTTTCAGACCTAAACCAGTTTTGACACTTTGACAGGAAACTTTTATCCTTTTTTTTAAAGAACCACCCATTCCATCATTTTATCCACTTCTGCCCTTGACACGGGGTTGGATTCGTTCCCGCAAAGGTTGTTTTTAAAACCTTTTCCTCCCTTCTAACTGAATGTGGACTCTGAAATATCTGAAACTTTTACTTTTCAATCATTCCCATTGAGAGAAAGCATCTCTCCAGCTGCCTTTTTGACCGCGATGCTGGAGGTCATGATTTAAAAGCTCCAAGGAAAAGAGTGGAAGCATCGCCTGCATCCTCTCTTTTGTCTTTGTTGCATCTCTGCATCTTTAATTATATAACTGGGATGTAAGAAGACACTAAACCGGTGTGGTTTGATTTTTTCTTTTCATCCACAAAGGAATTAACAATGGCGAGATTTTTGTTGAACATGCGTCTTGTTCTGATTTTCTTGGGATTATTTTTGCTCTCTTCTCCATCCGCAAGATCCGAGCCGGAGCAACAGGACGAAGAGGAGGAGGAGAGCTCCTGTCAGGGCGCTTTTGACCTGTATTTTGTGCTTGATAAGTAAGTAGAAACAGCTGAGAACTGTTTTCTGATCATAAAGACTTGTTAGGAATATCTGGGATATCTAACTAGCCTGTAGCAGTTTCTCCGGTGAAAGGAGTTAGCAAAACACCAAAAAAAAAGCTAACATCTGCATTTACTTTTCGTGTTACTGTTAAGGCTTTTATTGCGGTCTTTTTGCTTGGTTTGTGTCATGCTCATGCTGTAAGTGAGGACAGAATAGGCTGTTTATTTTCCAAACATGAGGTGAATGATACGAAAGTCCCAGCTTCTAACACGACTGTTTCAAAAAGTATCAAATAAGTTTATCGGGGGGCTGATTAGCACCGCTGCATCTGTGCGCGTGCGCGCGCGCGGGATGACGCTAGAGAGGAGGCTGACTTGCAGACTGCAGTTTGCTTAATAAGCGAAAAGAGTGGTGACTATTTGGATGCTAAAATAATGATATCTCTCCCCTTCTTTGCATGTTAAACCCCGCTGCGGCTTTTTCCACATCACTGTGAAATTCTCCTGAAAAATAAACCTTTAAAACTCTCCAAGGCAGAGAGGCCTTTCTTTGATTCCCACCCATACCAGAGGGGACTTTTTTTGCTCTTTGCTCAGCTCACCGTTTCATTTCCACTTTCTGTACGCCCACATAGGAAAAATGTTGTGGTTATGTGACATCTTAGTGGTGGACTTAAGCGGGGAGAAAATAAAATGTCAGAGAAAATTAGGAGAAACTTCTAGAGTGCCTGGTTCTCTTTGAATGCCTTCAATTGCACACTTTTATTATTCAGGTTTTGTTACTTGTGTTTTTTTGACATAATGCAATACTGGAATCCTCCTCTGTGCCATTTTGAGACCTAATATCCAAGCAATGTTTAACTTTATTGCAGCACTGCTGCTTGGTCTGCCTAGTTTTATCTTGATATTACCCAGTCTGGATCTAAAGCATTGTTGTATCTTCAACTTGCACTAATGGAACAATGCCAGAAATCAGTAGGGGAAACAAGAAAGGACAGGAAGCAACAACTTTTATGGAAAATGTGGTCTTAATTTGGAAAACAAAATGTTGCACGCAACACCTTTAAAAGCCTGTTTTTGCGGTTTTAAAAAAATGAGATGTCTCATGAAGATTAGCATCACTGGTGTCTCTATAACATCTCATATGCCCCTGGGTGGATGGTGTTATCAAAAGGACTTTTTCAGGCTGATAGCCCCCAGCGGGAGTCAGTGCCTGTTCACGGCACCTTTGACTTTTTCCTGACATTTCATTCCTGAAGTGGACACAAAACATGGGACTGCTCCCCAGATGTGGAGGGCTGTGTTTGGCTAGCGCTGTGTGGTAAACACTGACACATGCTGCAAATAAGGAAACAGCTTCTTCTTCTTTTTTTTCAATGACAGATGCTATTGTTTGCTCGTGTGCATACTTTGGTGCCCACTCCCGGGGTGATTAACAAGGTTTAGACTTTTGCTGTGGACTTCAAACTAGGGGAAGCTCATTAGAGACCTGTCTCAGCCAACCCCATCCCTCAGGCCTGAGTTGGGTTTATGAGACACGGTCTGAACTTTCTGCCCTGGTTGATCCATATGGAAGGCGTACAGTGTGTGAGAAGGAGTTTCAGTATGTAGAACAGGAGACACTATACTACCTTCCTTCATCAATGTAAGACACAAAGAACTACTGCAAGGTTTTTTGGAGAGTTTGAATCATTGGTCACCTGGATTCTAACCTGGCATGGTTGTGTTGTTGGAGCCACCTAGCCATAGATCTGTTGCTTCTATTTTCCTAACCCTTTTGTAAATCACCACCGAAGGGTGCTCAAAATGTTGTATTATAAAGCAATAACAAGAGATACAGAGGGTTTCGGTGCCATTCTTTAATCATATTTTTAATAAAGTGACCTAAGAGGAAAACTTCATAAATGTTTGATTAGTCTTTGACGTCAGGCAAAAAGGGACACAGAGGAAGTTAAATTATAGTGAGTAGCACAATAGACTAGACTGAGCACTATGGTTAATCAGAGTATGTAACAGGGGTGAAAAGTAAAGCCATAACCAAATCTTAACAAGCTGTGAGTTAATAATTTAGCAATATTTAATGATCAAAACTAAGTGTCCACAGCCAAAACTAGCAGCTCTGGGAGGCTGCACTTAGGCACAGCGATGGTTTGAGCTAAATGCTAACATGCTCAAAATGTTTAGCATGACAAGTTTACCAGGTATGTTTACCATGTTCACCATCTTTTATATATTATGTCAGCGTAGAATGCTAATCACGCTGATTAGCACTTAACACAAAGAGGCTGATGGGAATGTCATTCGTTTCTCTGAACATTTAAAACATTTAAAAACATGATTATTGAACGTTATCTGGGGCTTTGCAGAATTGTCCGATACCAACATTACGTCTGCAGATAGGGTTGGTAGTGTTTTGCTGGAAAGAAATTGTATAGACAAATTGTTATGCTGATGGGATTGGGATGGGTCTGATCAAGAATGAGAAACACACTGGGCACTGTGTGTCTGCCTTGGCTCATAAAGTCGACTCCAAAGGCATTTATTGTTCGGGCAGATGATGTCACGCCATGGCTCGATCATGTAGGACAGTGCTCTCTGAGACATATAAGTGGCTGCAGCATGAAGGGTAGAGAAGGTGACTAATGACCGTATGGCTGCCAGTTTGAATCTGGGACATCTGGGTAAGGGTTTGGAAAATGTGGGCTTTAGTTAAATTAAGTTAGTTAAGTGCCCTGCAGAACTACAGTATATATGACATCCTGAAGGAAAGTAGGGTTGATACAAACCGCATGAGGTGTCAAAAGGCAGCAACAGAAACAATCAGTGACAGAAATAAAAGGTAGCAACCAAATAGATGTAGAGGCTGGATTTCCCCTTCAAGTCCCAGCAGCACACAGGTGTTAAACTGCAACATTAATGCACAGGCAGTAATAATTAGAAGGATAGAGATGCTGGAGTAAATGGGAGACTGCTAACGCGTATGATGTTCAGGCAGGAACAAAAACGGTGTCAAAATGACACAAAATCCAAATGAAACCTGATGAAACAAGGGTGTTGATTGAAAAAACAAAACAATTCCCAATCCTTGGCTGATAAAAGATAACAAATGTTTTCATTAAATAAGATGTGGGAACGTATGGGCCATAGCCACATCCCACCACCCGCAGTTAACGACGTGACATCATGTCCCCGTTTTGTGGTGTATGGTGTATGGATCGTAAGTAGACATACAATAGCAGTTAACTAATTTCTCCACTACTGTTAACTAAATAAAGTGACACAGAAACAAGACATGAAGAATCTACAGTCATGCTAGCAGCTTTGTGAGTCTGCGTTTATATACACAGCGTGTATATACAGTGTTCGAGCTAAATGCTACCGTCATCATGCTAAGATCCTTACAATGACGAGGATAATGTGCTGATGTTAGGCAGGTGTAATGTTTTGTCTTTTTCACCATCTTAGTTTAGTGTGTTGGCATGCTAACATTTGCTAATTAGCACTTAACTGAAAGTACTGCTAAGGCCAAGGGGAATGTCCTTTGTTTTGGCCATACAGCAACGTATTGGACAAATTAAAATGTTGACCTTATGATGGCACTAGAGGTAAATTCAGAGGATCACCAAAGGCTAGCTTGGCTAAGAATTTATGCACAACCAAAATCTAACAGCCAGTGGCTGATGGTAGTTGTAGTTTCCCACCCAGAACTCCAGACACATTTTTGAATTTGGGGCAAATAAGTTTTGAGGAGATTTGCTTGTTGGTCAATTTAACTCAAATTATTAAACTATAAGCCTTAAAATAGCCACTGTGATCATTTGGTGTATACCTTTAAGCCCTATACTGCTGCATATGTATACAAGGATGTATATTTGCTGATTCAGAGTGGGCGGGAAGCAGCAAACTGTTTTATATGGAGCACAGAGCCAGAGGAATGGTTTTGGGTGTGTTCATATGGGAGACAAAGGAATTCACCTATAGGCCAAATGTTAATGTTCACCGCTTGATGAAAATGGCATTTAACCATCTTGTTTGTGTTTTAATTGGGCACAAATTTGAAGACATTCTTGCACATGGTAATTCCACAGTAGCACTGGATAACAATATCAGCTAAGGAAGATTAAAAAGTCTAAGCCTTGTAGTAGCATTTTATTATTACAAAGTGAGATCATTGAGAGATCAACAGGCATGCAAACAGACACATGTAGCCTCACAAGCTGTCTTCCCCTCTTTCACTCTGTGTCAGTGTCTGCTTGTGTGCGATTCTTTTCAACAAGCGCTTTCCATTTATCTCTCTCTTGTTTCCACCAGACTCTCATTACCTCTTCAATCCAAAGTCATCATCGCCACACTTGGTGTTACTGCAGTTTCATTGTTTTAAGATGTAGCCTAGAGATACACTATTATTGCACACTTTACTGCTGCTATTAATAATAATCTTTCTCTGGGAGGCCTGGGCCAAATCACAGCCATTTCTGTCTTGTCTTTATTTTTTAGCACTAATCATGGCTGCAAAATGTTTTTGTTGTTTGTTGTGTTGTTGGTTGTGGATGTAGTCACAAGTTGGCGCACTGTTTGCCCGTTGGGTCATGTTGCCTGAATCCTGGCAAGTCAGCGGAAAAACCAAGATGCAGCTGCAGTCCATAAATATTTTCGATGTGTCTAGCTGTGGAATACGTTCTAGCTGTGGAATGACACTCACTCTGTGTTTTGTCATTTTGCCATATGCAGCGTGTTGCTTTAGTGTTTTCAGCAGGAAGAAATGTCTTGTTAAATGATATCATGCTGTCTGAAGACCCCGGGGACAAAAACAAGACCAGAAGTTTTAATGGGAATGAATGCCACCTTAACCCTAATCCAAATCAGTCTACAGTAAAAAGTGCATTACTAATTACATTTTAGGTCAGGTAAAGAAACATCTGTGTGATTTAACACATCTAAAATGCCCCTCTACCTGCTCGATTTTCCCCAAACAATTCCTTTTTGGAATAGAC